AATCTTAGTGTGTTCGTGAATTGTGACTCCGGATTCTGGGTAGAAGTAGCATGTAATTAAAGTTGATATCTATATAGCTTCGCGTTTATTTCGCTTTTCTTTGCTTGTTTACTGATAATCACTAAAAATGTAAAGAATTGGCTAAATAATCTCTAACGTTGGCTTGCTTGGCAAGTGTGATGTTAGGTGTCATCACGGTCCCGACGGTGAGAATTTCAGGTCGTGACAAGTTAGTATCAGAGCACTAGGTTGCCTAGGTCTCAGAATTCAGGAATAAGCTTAGTAGAGTATGGGGGATCGATACGGAGACGTCTATGCTTATCTCTTAGAGGCTATAAAGTTAGGAACAAATTTCACTTTTATTCAACTCTGTCGTGCGATTTTGATTTTTCTCAATACTGATTGAACTCTCCTACACTTATTCCCTCGCAGATGGCGAGAACGAGTACCGCTTCTTCAGCTGAGCAGCAGAGCCTCCAGCAACAGCTCCTACGAAGGGCAAAGGTCGAGGCCGAGGCCGTTCCTTAGGTCGAGGCAGGGGCGGGGCTCAGCCCTGGGCCCGAGCAGCAGCCCCCAGCCGTGGAACCTCAGGTAGAGTTCGACGAGGAGGCTCCAACTCAAACTATTCCTGCCGGGCCAGCTCAGATCCGAGAGGGGTTTATTGCCACCCCAGTGCTTCAGGATGCTTTGGTCCAATTAGTGGGCCTTATGGAGAGTATGGCCCAGACTGGCGCATTCCCGATGGCACCAGGTCGTGACATTTTGCGTTTCTATATTTTCGATTATCTATACTGCAAAAATTTATCGAGCTAAATGCAATTAAGTTACCCATATTATAAAGCCAAACAAAGTGCTCTATTATAACATCAATCAATTAAGTTGTTTGATGTCATCATCATTTGATTTATCGTCCAAGATACATATAAGGCGGAATTAACCATATTGATCATACCAAAGTGATTTATTTTTCCACCGCACAACACAAAGAGCAACAATATAACCATCGAACCAACCTCAGTAATAATTTGACCAAAATTAAAAGTCTAACAGGAGTTTCAATACGCAAAATAAAAAAGAGTAATTCTAATAATAGATAAGTGGAAAAAAGAACAAGAGAATAGGAAAGGAAACAATATGTTAACTGTACACTTCCTGTGTCTTTCCATGTCATGCGTCAAGCTCTTCATCGTATAATATACCATACATTCTAAAAGGAGCTTATTTAGCCAATAAAAAGAATTTCACACTAAAGTATCCAAATGAAATTAACTACTACTCCCTTCGTTTCAATTTACTAGTCTTAGGGTACGCGCGCTGCGCGTGTACCCATATTACAATCAAAATCTTTATAAAAACCACATAAATATTATTAATCTAGATATAGAATTTAAACTAAAGGAAATAGTTAACTTCCTAAAAATATGAATGTTAATTTTGTTTAACTAATTCTATAAGAAAAGAAACGTCGCCCCACAAAGTCCTGATATATTTTATTGGATTTCGATATATGGGCTTTGTATTTAATTTAAAAGCTCAGAATAAGCATAATATGTTAATTTGTATTAGCAGTAATCTCTAAACTTCTTTATAGGAAACAACTTAAAAGGTTAAACTGAATGTAACAAGTTTGTATTATTCTAAAAAAATTGAACAATAAAGAGGATACCCCAATTATATACGGAGCTATGAATATGCTATAGTTTTATTTATTATTCGTTATTAAATAATTTTATATTTTTGTATGTATAATGTTTTGAAGAAATAGTACATCATTGAAGAGTAATATGATCTATTAATATTACAAAAAGATATGTTCATCCATAAATAATAGTTTGTGTTATAATATTCTTGCTTTTGGAGACAAAGACACATTAACTATAATTTTATAAAAAAGCAAGGATGGTTCGTTTCTTACATTGAATTATATGAACTTGACACTTCCCACAAAAAAAAAATGTTCAATATAAGAACATAACATTTTTTAAAAACAAAATGTTAGGAGTAATTAAAAATGTAAATAAACCATTCTTAAGTTTTTGTTTGATAAGTAGCAAAGTTGCCGAGAATTTGGAATGGCAAATAATTGATTCCTCCTTAAAAAGATATTTTTCTCTTTTATTTAACCTAGATTTTAGAAATTAAAGACAAATTGGTTCCTTCTTGAAAACTATTTTTCTCATTTATTTATGGTAGGAGTGTTAGGGTATCTTTTACCTTTTTTTATTATTATTTATATTTATATTAGAATCTAACCATGTAAATCAAAGTGTATTTCATAATTCATTTTAGAAAAAATTGTAATTATACCCAAGATATTTCTTTTTTATATAAATTAGGAATAGTTAAATACTTTAAAGACAACTTTGTTCCTTCTTAAAGAGATAATTTTCTTGTTTATTTACATTTAGGATACTTTTTTTCTAAAAAATTATTTCAAAGAAATCAAATTGATAATAAAATTTGTTACAGATCCTTGGCTGCTGCTTGGTTGTCAGAAACGAACATCTTTCAAAGGCGAAAGTAGATACAATTTCCTTCCTACGCATTTTGAATAGTTTAATTCAAATTAATTTTTTCTTTTTCTAATTTTGAAGTACGTTGTTTTTTATGGGTAAAAGGATCTAGAAATGTCAAAGTTGTTTATTTATAGTAAATTTCAATAATTCTAAATATTATGAGCTAGTTCAAATAAGGAAAGATTTAATAAATAAAATTTTATTTGATTTTAAAATCCTATATATTAGGAGAATAATTAAATTACAATTTTGTATAATGTGAAAGTAATTTTTAAAGGGTAAAAAAGGCGAACGACATTTCGCTAAGGGCCTTCGTACTTTTAATATAGTATAGAATAGATGTAAACCTATTTCCTTTTTAATCCGTGTCAAAAAGAATAATCACTTTTCTTATTTGAAAATAATTTACCTTTATGCAATGATTTATAGGGACACAAAATATATGTGCCCCTTTTACATCACAAGTTCAAAAGTCTTCTCTCTTTTCTTAAATTCTGTATCCAGTCAAATTGGTTCACATAAATTAAAATGGAAGGAGTATTATTTATGCTGTTCTTCGCTTTTATTTATGCTCTATCCTAGTTTTTCTCTCCCTTGCTTCAACTCTCTCTCTCCTCTCCTCTCTCTTTGATCCATACAAACACTTGATTCTCAATTTTGGGTATGGTACATGGGATGCTCTGAAGAGATTTTTGCTATGTTAAAATGTGCATAACAAGACCTGGATATGCATCTATAGAATCCAAGAACATGAAGAGGCCTAAAACTGTAGTCTTATCATTTGAATTGAAGTTTAGATTCACTTAACATATTTTTAATCCCCGTTTTCAGCTTAAAGAATCTAATAATGATAGGTGGTAAAGAGGCTCAATTCCAATACTTTTATGATTCTTGATAATACCATATCTATTATGAAGTGTTTTTATGATTTTGTACATTAGTATTATAGGAATAGTGTTTAGATAAGGGGTAAAAATGTCATTCAATATTTTATGAATATTTTGGTAATTTAAGTTTATTCTTAAAAGTTTTTCCACTTTTAATATAAAATATGATATGCACTAACAACATATTTTTAGATTGTCCAATAGTACTCATAAATCTACCCAATTATTGTGGCTGTTTATATTAGGGGATTTGCATCTATATTCGCCTTTCGGGTATCATTTTAACTTATGCCTGTTTTGTAAAAAAAAATTGCAAACGTTCCCACTTTTTCGCGTAACTTTAGCATACGGGGCTGAAGTAGCAAAGACAATCACGCAAAACTTCAGCATTCTAGTAGACGGGCCTGAAGTAACAAAGGCAATACGCTGAAGTTTTTTTATCCTGGATAAGATGCTGAAGTTATTTAGTTCATTTGTAAAAACTTCAGCACTAAAATAGCTGAAGTTTTTTTATCCTAAATTCATTGGTTTTGTCATAAAATGCTGAAGTTATTTAGTTCATTTGTAAAAACGTCAGCACTAAATAAGCTGAAGTTTTTTTTGTCCTGGATAAACTTTTTTCAAAAACAACAGAAGATGCTGAAGTTATTTAGTTCATTTGTAAAAACTTCAGCACTAAAATAGCTGAAGTTTTTTTTGTCTTTGATTCATTAGTTTTGTCATAAAGCCTTTTCAAAAACTTCAGCAGAAGATGCTGAAGTTATTTAATTCATTTGTAAAAACTTCAGCACTATACAAGCCGAAGTTTTTGAAAAAGCTTTCTAACATACTAGATAAATAATCACCTTATTCTTTCATAGTGTATTACTACTATAAAATAATCAGATTGCCAACAATATCTAAATCATAAATTTTGGAAACAATAAACGTGAAAAGAACAGAATTACGTGGAAATATTCACAAATTATTGTCTACTAACTTATGTAATTATTTATAATTTATTTTTAGATAATCTGATAAATATACTTATGACAATTATCCCATGAACTGAAGTTTCATAGCAACACCAACAGCAGCAAAAGAAAGAAGAAGAAAACGAAGGAGGAGAAAGGAGACTGAAGTTGTTTAAAAAGTTGGTACAAGTTAAAACTTTTAAAAAAAATGGGTATAGCTTAAATGAGGACGACTAAATAGGGCGCTCCGTGCAATTTTTACTGGAGAAAACACACACATTTAATTAATTAAAGCCTTGAAGGTTGAATGTACTTCGTCTTATATCACAATGACCAAAATTATCATTTACCAATAATTAAGGGGATCAAATGTGCTATCAACTGAATGTTCAAAAGAAAAAAGAATATGGGAATATTCCAAAAACTGAAGCGGACCATTCAAATTTGTGCTAATTATTCATCTAACGAGCACCTTCCACGTGGCAGTGAAAAGTTCCCACAAATTAGATTTCCTCATTAAATTGGGGCCTCTAATTATTAACTCCGTGGCAATTCCAAGTCCTCATTCCTAGAACATAAAAATTTTTTTGAAATAAAAGAACGTGGAAAAAATTAAATAAAGACAAAAACAGTAACCCCCCAAAAAAGTAGAAGTAAAATCACCAATTTAAAAAGAAATTGAAAAAACCCCTCTTTCTGATTGATCTATATAAAAATTGCTGAGTATAGGAGCATTAGTGCAATAATTTTTTTTTTCATATTCAAGAAAAATCAAAGAATTCTTGAAAAACCCCAACAATGGCTAAATTCACAGTTAGAGCAGAAAACAATAACTTATTTAATTTTCCCAACTTTGTAAACCATAAAGTTTCAATCTTTAACACTTTGAGACCTCAAAGATTGAATCTTTTAGCCCAAAACCATAGTTTGAAGTTCAGAGTTTCTTGCAGCATAATAGAGAGAGAAAAGGAAAAAGCTTTAGAAAGGCAGAGAATACTTGAGGGGTTGAAAGTGAATGGTGAGTTGAGCAAGAAGGGGGAATTGATCTCAACTTCTGGAAATGAATTGGGAGCTGAAAATGAGGATAAGGAAGTTGGTTTTGAGTGGAGTTGGCCACCTTGGAAGAATTTGCCTCAAAGATATAAGCTCATTGGAACTACTTCTCTTGCCTTTGTTATCTGTAATATGGATAAGGTAATTGAATTCTTTTCATATAGTAACATATTGTGATGTTTTCAGTTCAAGAATTGCATTATTTGATCTTTTCTGAAAACTGATTGTGCGTTTCAGCTCCTAATTTTTGTTGTTGATAGTGAAGGGGGCTTGAAGGAACAGTAAATGTCTCCTTGTGACTAAGGGTTTGAGTTGTGGAAGCAATCACTAATGCTTGTATTAGGATAGGCTGTATAAGCCATCAAAGGGGTACGGCCCTTCACCGAACCCTTCATGAATGCGGGATGCCTTATGCATCGGGTTGCCCTTTTTTTGGATAGTATCATTGTCTTGAGCTCATAATTGATGGATTGATGGTTTTGTTGATAAGTTGACTTTATAATTTGGTCTTGCTAAGAGCTTTCTGTTCTTGGTGTGATTGTTAAGTTAATTGTCATTTAGTTTAATGTTAAGAACACTGCTACTATTAGTAGTCCAATCGGCTTTTAATGTTGTTTGGATGATTACTTGAGAAAGGAAACTTTTGCTAAATTGAATTATAAGACGTTCTTGCGAATAGCTTACATATGGGAGTGCATGGATTTTGTGTCTCTAATGAGACCCATGTTTCGGTATAACCAGAGATGTGGCAGCATTGGTGGAGCCAGAATTTTCACTAAGGAGAGTCAAAATATAAGAATTAAACACACGAAGAAGCCAAGGGGATTCAACATATAGTACATATGCATAAGAAAAAGTTTACCTAACTACACAGTGTAATTTTCACGTGAAAGTTGGCTCCGCCTCTGTGTGGCAGTCAAGGGCATGGTAGCTCGAGTTCTAGTGCAACTTTGAAGTATGATGATATATACAAGTGGAACATCAAATGGTCTGGTCTTTGGCCTAAGGTCTCACAAAGTTAGTAAGTTTCCTAGGGATGTAAGTACAAAATAGGATAATTCCCCTAGATGGTGACTTTACCCTTTTTCCTTTGCACACTTCGTGGCCGAATGCATTTCTTCGACCTCTCAATGGTGGCAGAATGAAGTGTAAGATGTATCTTGCTAATGTGATAACGTTGATTCCAACGTGCATTAGCAAATGCAAATGAGAGGATTCGAGATGAGAAATGCTCCTTTTTTGGTGCTCTTGTCTACTATTGGCACTGGTTAGCACTTTCCTTGCAGCTGGAGTTAAGTATAACAGAAGCGAAAAAGAAATTGTTTCGGTTCGCTCATGGAGCAGTGTCGAATGTGATCATGCGAAATGGCTTAACAAGCATAAATCTTTTTGTTTCTTTTGGAGTTTTCTGCCTTTTCAGTTAATTAAAATTTGATAATTTCATTTCTTTTACTGAATAGGTCAATTTGAGCATTGCCATTATTCCAATGTCGCATCAATTCGGTTGGAATTCATCAGTAGCTGGATTGGTCCAGTCATCTTTCTTTTGGGGTTATGCATTAAGTCAATTGCCAGGTGGATGGCTTTCGAAGATATTTGGTGGGAGGTAAGTTTTTGGATGGTCAAGTTTCTGTTGTTGTGCAATAGATGAGAATCTTCTAGTCTCTGATTGTTGGCTAGAAGCAAACCAACTTTACTGTATATATCCTTTTACAATTGGTGCTATAGTTAACAGACTTACTATATTTCTAAGCTACCAACTTTACAAAAGATCTTCCCAAACGGCGGGGGAGATAGCATGCCATGTTGATCATTTCATCATTCATCATGCTTATTGGATTTTTCTTTTGTTTGCAGTAAAGTTCTTGAAGTTGGAGTCTTAGTCTGGTCTCTGGCAACAATGTTAGTTCCCTATCTTGCAGGGTTTATGCCTGCACTCATCTTTTCAAGGATCTTGGTAATTTGGTCTTGACTTTTCTAGGATATTTACAAAAACACTGATTTTTATCTACGTTAACAAAAGAAGGATTATTGGTCTTTGGCCTTGCTTTATGTGTTTCGGAAACTTACCTCATTCTCAAAAGATGTGGATATTACTCATGTATTGTTCTTCCTAGACTTATTCTATATCTATTGATTTCCAAGTATAGGTTGGGATAGGAGAAGGAGTTTCACCATCAGCTGCCACTGACCTGATTGCCAGGTATGTTCGAACTGATAAGTACTTAAACATGAATCTGGACAATGGTTCATTATCTTAACCTTGCTTTTGCATGCGTTGAATCACCCCTTTACAATGGAAATAATGGTTCATCTTTCTGCTAATGCTTCTAAAGTTTATGTTCCTTGCTGTATAATGTATAAAATGTTACGTATTGTGCTTCTCAACTGGACTTTGATATTGAACTGGAATGATGACAAGCTTGCATGTCAGCTGGTTTAGCTAGTTCGGATAGCTGAGAGAATGTTGCTTCAATGTTACTCTATTTTCGTACAATGCTCTATATTACATATTATAGGATACTTAGAATTTGAAGAGAATTTTGAGATACAAACTATAGCTAGCGTTTCTGATGATACAAAGTCTTAAAAGGCCATACCGATTGAAGTTATCTCTACGAGGCCTCTGAAAAATCCACATCTGTGTTGGAATCTAGAATACTTATCCAATTATGTTGTTAAATCGTCTTTAAGGTTGAAATATATCATATACTTTAGACCTATACAAGGCCTCTGAAAAGTCCACGTCAATACTTATCGAATCATGTTGTTAGCATGCCTTTGCGTGCAAAATTTAATATTTTTGTGTATATTTCATTTACCATGTTTGTTTTGTCTCTGCATATTATGTACAGGACAATACCATTAGAAGAACGCTCTCGAGCAGTATCATTTGTTTTTGGTGGTTTGAGTTTTGGAAGTGTTACCGGGTATTTTTCATCTTAAACTTAATTATCAGTCATATACCAGTATATTGGAATATCTCATATACATTTCTATCTTATCAAATGATTATGTGGTTTTGAGGAAGATAAAAGTTGGAATTTCAAATGCAGACTTAGTTTCTAGACTTTTAGTTCGTTGGACATATACCAAACTGTTGATGTGATATCAAACCAGGATATCTTTGACACTAGCATAATATCATACCGAGTTATCTTTGACATTAGCATTCAGCAGAAGAAATTATACTTCATTTATGACAAGGGCTGTACAGCACTTCTGACCCCTATCTAGGCATCTTGGTTTTACTCTTTATGGTCATAGTAACTGCAGAAAGTGCAAAATGTATCAGGAAAAGGTGTTAGAGAAAATTCCTGATCAGCGCTTTCGATTCTGAAGTTCTGTAATATAACCTGCACGATTTCTTACAAATTGTTCGTAGAAATTCAAAATCATGTTGCGTCTAATCCATTTTTTGTTTCTTTTTTAGATTCTCCTAGGCATGGCTAAAGTTCTTTTATTAATGTGGTTTGGTGATCATCTAAAATTTTCTGAATTTGCAGACTTCTGTTGGCTCCTCCACTGATCCAGAACTACGGGTGGGAGTCTGTATTTTACTTGTTTGGCTTTCTAGGCATAGGTTGGTAAGTTGGCCTCCTCCTTTCTCCTTCCCCAACAAAAAAAAAGGAAAAAAGAAAAGAAAAGTAGATCGCTCTACTGCCCCTAAATCCTTTCAACCAATTTTACGTGCCACCTATTTGTTGTTGTCATCCCCGCTTACAGAATGTTGCTATTCTTTAGGCTGTTCTTAGCTGAAGCTTTTCTTTCCTCTTTATGTCAATCCAATCTCCACAGATTTTGAAGTAATTTTCCTTCCCTTTGGTATGCTTTGATTTATTTTGATCATATCTGGTCTTGTTCCACCTTTCCAGTCATTCTAGATAAAATTTTCAAATGTAGGATTTTCCGTTACTTAAATCGTCTATCTCCATCACTTGTAGTTATTTATCATTTCAATGAATGATCGCTTACAAGAATACCAGCTACAGTACCTATTATCCAAAGAGGAATCCTTCCCGTAGTATTGGCCATTTACCCCACTTCCCTCCGGATTTCGTCAAGTGGTCATTGGTTTCAGTTTTTCATTTTGAGAAGAAATTACTCTTTGAGTTGCATTATCCCTAGCTTAGTTATTTACCAATAAAGCACATATTAACCAATTCTAAGCTGATGTGCTTATCTCTGCATATTTCAGGTTTTTAGGATTTCAATTGGTTAAAGAAGATCGGCCCTGGTTTTCCACAGAATCCATGTCTTGTGAGTAGAGTTTCTTGTTTCCACCGCCTTCTCAAAATTGTGGTAAAATCTGGTCTAGTCGAGTACTAACAATATCAACTTTAATTTTATCTGCTTTTGTATTGCTTTGTACTGCATTTCTGATTGGGCAAGCAATATTTTGATGTTTGCAGGGCCGCCGTCTTTTTCTAGAAATAAATCAATGGGTTCATCATTGGGAGAGTTGAGCGCCTCTCTAAAGGTATGTGTACAGAAAATCAGTTGGAGAACAAGTCTAAAACAGTTGATTGGATATCTTTTGGTTGTCTACATACAATTTAAAGATAAGTTAAACTAAATGTAACATTAAGTAGAATTGCAATAATCATTATAAAATTAACTTCTGGAGTCTCCTCAAGCTATGTTGGGTGCTATTTTTTCCCGTGTTTAATGGTGTAGTAGTCAGGCTCCAACTTCTTGCAAAGACTTCATTTAATCCACAAAAAAAAATCTTACTTTGGTTAACGACATTAACATTGAAGCTTATACCAATTGAACCTTAATTGTAGGATGTACCGTGGAAGGCATTTTTCAAAAGCAAAGCTGTGTGGGCGATGATATATGCACATTTTTGTGGGAGTTGGGGCCATTATACTTGCTTATCTTGGCTTCCTACCTATTTCAGGTAACTATTTGCCATGATTGAGCTTAGTTTTTTTTTTTAATAACCGTGGTGTCTGGGTCAGCTCGCGCGCATCTCGACTATTTTCACGGGAACCTACTACCTCCCACAAACAACAGGTACTAGGTAACTCTATCTGCCAAGGCTTGGTCAAATAGGAAGAAATCACCTAGTGTTTTTGCTTCCGTTGGGACTTGAACCTGAAACCTCATTATTCTCAAGCCACTTCATTGACTATTAGGCCATACCCTTGGGTGCTGCTTGAGCTTAGTACTAAGAGCTTTTCTTTGTAATGTTTCATTTTTCTTGTTTGTGACGCTAGTGCCATGGTTCATAAATGACAAATATTTTGAAAATGTGGTCATATTGAATGAAATTGTAAAAGGCAAGGTACGACGATTAAAACTGTGTAAAAGATGCTTTAAATTGGATGTCTGCAGATGGCAGTTCAATTTTTCTGGCCTATCAGCTTCTAAGTCCAATAAAAGTTCACTACTTAGAAAGCTTATAAAAAACAAAGCTGAAACAGAAAAACTGAGAGAAGGAAATAAACCTTGACTCTATACTACATGGTGCGATTTGACCAAGAACTTAAATAACCAGGAATTTATTTATATTAAAATTTCGCGCGAAAAACAACAGAAAAGGGATAAATAATTTTGGTCCAAAAAATATATATATCAATCAAATCCAAATACGAAGCCAAAGACGGTGCGATGCTTGCTCTCTTCTCAACTCTTTAAGAGCTAGAAGAAGTGCTTCTATATATGGGCACAACAATCTTCCTCTTCCTCTTCCTCTTCCTATCCACTGACGGACAAAGTTCCTTTGTAAAAAATAACCAATTTAAAATTTCATTCCCCTCTATTTCTTTTCCCTCCATTTCCCTCACACTTCAACTACAACCCAACATGGTAAAGTACCCAAAGGATTCAACCTTTTTTCCTTTTAAGATGTTTTCTCCGGTCTTATCAAGGTTGATGATAACCAAGTTATAATAACTATGATGATAACCAAACTTCCTTAAGAGTATAGAGTTAAAATATTAGCAGGAAAAGGAATTCAACTACTTATAACAAATTATTTTATTTTTTGTAAGTTTATATTCAATATATTTGTTGTTTGAGTAGAGAAGAAAAAGTTATATACTAAAGTGGAATTTTGAACTGCTATATATTGGAGAAAATAGGAATAAATGCTATTTGTAAGAGAAAGCGCTTCTTAAGTGTTTTTCTATATGTTTGATTTGCATCCCTGCAGTGAGGAGCTGAACCTTAATCTGACAGAAGCAGCATGGGTAAGTCTACTGTATCTTTGCTTCCCATCTCTAGTTGCTTTCCTAATATTCATGTGTCAATGTCTAGAGAGAATATGTTGCACCCATCCCTTAATTGTTCAAGACTTTCACAAATATAATATTGTGATACATCATTTTTCATTCACGCCTCAGCATGCCTCAGCATTGAAATCCAAATTTCTGCAGTCACTTATTGCATATACCCCTGAATTTTCTAGATATGTTATTCATGTGAGTAATTAAGAGGAGATATCTTTTTAAGTGAGACAATGAAAGAACAAACTATCTGCAGCTCGGGCACATTACCAGTTGAAGTACTTTACTATAAACTACAAAATAACCTACATTTGTGGAGGAAATCCTGCTTCCAAAAAGGATTGAACCTAAGACTTTAAGGGACCTCAACTATTTACTTGAGCTAGGCCTTCTTAAGGGGCAGTCCGGTGCACAAAGCATCCCGCATTCATGCAGGGTTCGAGGAAGGGCTGCATCCCTAAGGGGTGTGATGTAGACGGTCTAACGTAATGCAAGCATTAGTGGCTAGGCCTTCTTGATTTGACAATATCAACAAGTTTGAGTCTGTGAGCCACCCTTTTAAGGCCCTCTAAAGTTGCAGTTGTTTTTTGTATAACTAATCTCCGTTCTTCATCACCAAAAGTTGAAATTTAAATGTGCATTTTTATGGTGAATATTATGCATGATCACAAAGGAAAAACTGTATCAATCTTTTCTTCCCGGAATATAATTAATTAGTGAGACTGGAGACGAGTTAAAGTTTCTCTAATGTCCCTTCACTAGTAACATGCACACGACAGTTACATTTTATAAGCCTATTTCCCTTCTGACTATGTATTGTCTAGGGTCACTTTGGATACTTTCTTCCTCTAAAAATGGCAGCCCGGTGCACTAAGCTCCCGCTACCGCTATGCGCGGGGTCCGGGAAAGGTCGGACCACAAGGATCTATTGTACGCAGTTTTATCCTGCATTTCTGCAAGAGGTTGTTTCCACGGCTAGAACCCATAACACCTGGATACTTTCTTCCTCTGAAGTAGTTAAATCAATAAGAATTGTTGAAGTACCTTTTTTAAGAAAATTTAACATGAAATAATTATCTTATGTAATTTCCTACAGTCATTACCATTTAGTTCTAGTAATTTACTGCCAACTCTGATGGTAAGCAACCTCTGATGGACAAGAGGGGTTGCTCTGATGGTAAGCAACCTCCACTTCCAACCAAGAGGTTGTGAGTTCGAGTCACCCCAAGAGCAAGGTGGGGAGTTCTTGGAGGGAAGGATGCCGAGGGTTTATTTGGAAACAGCCTCTCTACCCCAGGGTAGGGGTAAGGTCTGCGTACACACTACCCTCCCCAGACCCCACTAGTGTGATTATAATGGGTGGTGGTTGTTGTTGTTGTTGTAATTTACTGCCAACTCTAATCAATGTTCGACTTGAGTTATCAAGTAAGACTGCTTACGCAACTAAGGAATATCCTCACAATTGTTTAACTTATATTTCAGGTCTCAGTTTTCCCTCCATTAGCTTCAATTTTTGTTACAAGCATTGCATCACAATTTGCTGATAGCTTGATTTCCAAAGGGGTTGATACATCAGTGGTACTTAGACTTTTCCTTATTTTCTCTATTCCCGGAATGTAATTTTTATGGTCTAACCCCTAGTTTTTCACGTCTCTTTATATGATGAGAACTGGAGAACTTCATATTTGTACTATATCATCTATATTTTTTTTCTTTAACCCTTTGAACAAGAGTAAATAATGCTCAATTCTATATCTACAAGTAATGCTTGAAAAAAATGTGGGATTTTCTTGATTGTATCGAAGCAAGCTATGTTATTGGAAGTCACACTCTTTATGTTGATCTTGATTGGTGTTCCACTAATTATATTTTTGTAGTTTTTCCAATTTTTTATTTATTGGAAGCTGCATGCCTTAGGATGACGACGATTTTGTTCTTAATGCTAGTAGAACGGATAGCACTCATGAAGAAGCTTCAAATGGTTTTTATTGGTAGAATTTAAGATTCTCAATCACTTAAAGTTATTGTGGATAACATGGTACTCAAATGGAAAAAGAACTTTCAAAGCAAAAGAAAATTTGATAGATAATTTATAAACTGATTTTTTTGATTAATGTCTTTGCAAGTTAATATTTCTCATCATTTCGGAGAAACTTATAAGTGATGATCTATGTTTTGATATCTTGCTGTGTAACTGGGGTGAGACAAGCACAGAATCTGGTTCCTGGTAATAAGTGTTAAATTCCCCCAACATGCTCAGTGTAATATTTTATATATACTTTTTAAAGCATATCTTTGATTTTCCCTCCCCCAACCTCCTGCTTATCGTTCCCTATAACCTTTTTTCTAATCAATGCTTCATCGGTCTCTTTATCTCATAATTTGTGTATATACCAATAATGCAACAAAGATTGAAGCAACTTGACAAGGTGGATACTTACCCTTTGTAACTCATCTGAACTAACAGGTGAGAAAAATTTGTCAAACAATTGCTTTTTTATCCCCGGCGACCTGTATGATTCTTTCTTCCTTGGACTTTGGTTTGCCTCCTTGGGAAGTAGTAACAATCCTCACTGGTGGTTTAGCTCTCTCAAGTTTTGCCTTATCAGGTACTCCAGTAAATTGCTCTTGGTTTCAAGAATTCTGAACTTGGGATGTAAATTCTAATAAAGATGCACTTCTTCCTCATCTGCTGGTACAATTGATCTTGTCAAATTTTTCATTGTTGCAGGCCTATATTGCACCCATCAAGACATTTCACCCGAATATGCAAGCATTCTTCTGGTATGTTTAGCATCAGGGCTGCATTTGTTTTATACATGTGCATGTTTTTTGATGCAAGATAATTATCTCTTTTTCTTCTTCCTCCTCTTCTTCTTTCTCACCTTTCTGAGCCGAGGGTCTATTGGAAACAACATCTCTACCTTCACTAGGTAGGCATAAGGCCTGGATACACATTACCCTCCCAGGCCCCACACGGGGATTGTTGTTATAATTATCTCTAAACATTCTTTGCATGGACACAAGGAAATCAAGTTCTACCTTCCATTGAACTCAAAGTTGGTTAATATGGTGTTTCTTAGCTTGTATTTATGAGTTCTCTGTAATTAGAATGTCGCTGTAATCCTCATGCATAAATATGATATTGGTTCCTGCACTTCATTCTTTGATCTACTCCTGTTATGCACAAAATTGTCGCAAATATCCTATGAAGTTCATATAATGGCCTTATACCTGTCTATTTTCCTTGTAACTGTTTGTAGCCACTGAAAAAATTTCCTTTTGGTAAGACTATCTGCATTGATTAGTTGGATGTCCGAAGAAGTTCATATAATGGTCTTATACCTGTCCGAAGAAGATTAGTTGGATGTCATCTTTCAAATTCAAGTCCAGATATTCTTTTTTTGTTTCCAACTTTGATAAACTGTATATGCAGGGTATTACCAACACCGTGGGGGCAGTTCCCGGAATTGTAGGCGTCGCTCTCACTGGTTTTCTTCTTGATTCAACTCACTCGTGGAGCGTAAGCTATCTTACATTCCCCAAGAACACCCTAAAACCTTAATAAGCCTCATCCGTTTGAAGATCAGTTCATAAATTTTACAACTTATTTTGTGCAGATTTCTTTGTTTGCACCATCAATTTTCTTCTACCTCACTGGAACAGTTGTGTGGCTGGCATTTGCAAGCAGTAAGCCGCAGACCTTCTCGGAGGGTGATTGACCTCATTATTCAGCTCGGGTTGATCAGCAAACATACATAAATACTACTAACAGCTCAGCACGAAACATATTGTCTACTAATCCATTTTTTTTTTGTATGTATAAAGTATATTAATCATGAATTGTAGGGATTTTGCAACTTTAGTGAAGAGTACCCTCATTTTTCAGATTGTAGTTACATAAAGTGCTCAGCAGATGTATAATGAACATCTTTAATAGTTATGGTTTACTCCAAATACTCATCAGCAGCTTTCCATGGTACTTTTTGCATTACTTCCCCTTCAACTATTGTATCTTCTTGAAATTATAGCAGATTAGTAGCAAGCTGAGGAAATGCCAGATCTATTCTAGGATTTAAAAAGGAATGTACTAATTGTTTTTCCTCCAAAGGTTAATCCTATAAAGTAGTTCAGCATTTGTGTTCACATTGTATTTATTGCATCTTTTTTTGTTACTCCCTCTGTCTCAAATTATCTGTTGTGTTTCTCTTCTCACTATTTAGAAATCTAGGAATTACCGATCAAAAATTTGTGACCAAAGTTGGTTGGTCAAAAAAAGCGACCAACGTTGGTCGCTAATGTGGAGAAAATTATTAAATAATTATTTTAAATAATTTACCGACCAAGGTTGGTCACTTTTTGGTCGGTAAAGTGGTCAACATGTTGACCGGGCTGGTCAGACTTGCTTAGTCAAAGAAATATTGAAATTAGCGACCAACTTTAGTCGCTAATGTGGGACCCAGTCATAACGTTTTAATAATTATATTATTATTTAAAATATTTTATAAAATATAAATAAATATTATTTAAAATTGGCGACCAAAGTTGGTCGGTTATGAAAGAGGAAGCAAGTAGCGACCAACTTTGGTCGCTAATTTGGAACCCAGTTAAAACGTTTAATAATTATATTATTATTTATAATATTTTATAAAATATAAATAAATCTTATTTAAAATTAGCGACAACTTTGGACGCTAATTTTTAATTCTGGATAATTAGCGACCAAAGTTGGTCTCTTTTCAGGTTAACATTTGTCAAAATTAAAAATCACTTTTANGTCAAGACATTTTGTTTTTAATATTCAACGATGCATCTGAGTAGGTTATAAGTCGATGAATCAACTTACACAGATATATTTGATGAAAAATATATTGAGGCTGAGAAAGAAGTTGAGACAGCCCAGGAACCTGTAGTTGAGGTGGTGTCTGACAAAGAGAATGCCCAAATCATTGGGAAGAAGAGACCTCCAGCACCATTCCGATAGAGGCTGACCAAGTACCAGAAAGAGGAACAATACAAGAAATTCTTGGAGATACTGAAACAAATCCAGGTAAATATTCTATTGATTGATGCTTTGAAGGAGATGCCTGGTTATGCAAAAATGATGAAGGACTTGATGTCCCGAAAATTCGATTTCCAAGACTTGGCCACAGTGATTCTAACTCAGACCTGCAGTGCTGTGGTGACTAGACCAGTTGCTGAGAAGTTGTCTGACCTAGGGAGTTTCACAATTCACTGCACCATTGGTAACTTTGCTTTTGCCAAGGCACTTTGTGATCACTTTGTGCTTTGGGGGCTAGCATAAATCTTATGCCCCTAGCGATCTATAAGAGGCTGGGGATTAGAAGAGCTAGACCCACGTCTATCTTATTGCAGCTGGCTGATAGAATCATGAAAAGACCCTCTGGTATCTTGGATGATGTGTTGATTCAGGTAGGGAAATTTGTGTTCCCTGCAGATTTTGTGATTCTAGATTGCAAGGTAGATGAAGAAATTCCCATAATTTTGGGAAGGCCGTTCTTGGCCACAGGGAGAGCTCTCATTGATTGTGAAACTGAGGAGCTCAAGATGAGGTTGAACGATGAGGAGATTACATTCAATGTGCAAAAATCTATGAGGCGACCAAGTGAATTCGCCAATTGTTCTATTATTGATATCGTGGATGTAATCGTAGAAGCAGATGATGAGATGTTGACTATTGAGGACCCTCTTGCTGCTTGTCTTGTAAACTTAGATGAGGTGAATGGAGAAGAATTGGCAGAATGGGTGCTAGCTTTAGAGGGCAGAGAGTTTTGGGATAGAACACTTGAATTCGAGCCCCTGCATTTAGAAAACAGAGAAACTACTCCAGCCAAACCATCCATAGGAGAACCACCAAAGCAGGAGTTGAAGCCACTGCCCGCCCATCTCAGGTATGAGTTCCTAGGACCCAACTCCACATTACCTGTTATTATCTCATCTAGTTTGTTAGATATGCTGGCACAACAACTTTTGCAGGTACTCAAGGAGTGCAAGACTGTCATTGGGTGGACCATGACAGACATTAAGGGGATCAACCCGGCATATTGTATGCATAAAATTCTGCTGGAAGAGGGGCGCAAACCTTCCAGAGAGCACCAAAGAAGGTTGAACCCCAACATGAAGGAAGTGGTGAAGAAAGAGGTGATTAAGTAGTTGGATGCGGGAGTCATTTTTTCCATCTCTGACAGCAACTGGGTTAGCCCGGTGCAATGTGTTCCTAAGAAGGGTGGTATGACGGTGGTCAAAAATGATAACAATGAGCTGATCTTTACAAGAACCGTCACATGTTGGAGAATTTGTATGGACTACAGGAAATTAAATCTGGCCACCCGGAAAGACCACTTCCCACTTCCCTTCATTGATCAGATGCTTGACAGATTGGCAGGGAGGTCCCACTTGTGTTTTCTGGATAGGTACTCAGGGTACAATAAAATCTCCATTGCACTAGAGGAGAGAGAGAAGACCTCTTTCACATGCCCATATGAAATTTATGCTTTTCGGAGGATGCTCTTTGGCCTATGCAATGCACCCGCCACATTCCAAAGGTGCATGATGTCCATATTCACTGACATGGTCGAAGACATAATGGAGGTGTTCATGGATTATTTCTCAGTGGTGGGAAACTTATTCGACGAGTGCCTTATAAATCTGACCTTGAGTGTTGAAAAGATGTATTGAGACTAACCTTGTACTTATTTGGGAGAAGTGCCATTTCATGGTATAAGAGGACATAATCATGGGACACTGGGTATCAAGCAAGGGAATCGAGGTAGATCGTGCTAAAGTTGACGTGATAGCAAATCTGCCACCCCCCACTTCAGTCAAGGTAATCAGGAGCTTCCTCGGGCATGCCGGTTTCTACCGGAGATTCATAAAAGACTTCTCAAAAATTGCCAACCCTCTCTATAAGTTGTTAGAAAAATATCACCCTTTCTTTTTTTTCCTGATGATTGCAGGATAGCATTCTAGGAGTTGAAAAAGAGGCTAGTCACAACACCCATCATTATTGCCCCGGACTGGGAGCAACCATTCGAACTCATATGTGACGCCAGTGACTATGAAGTGGGGCCAATGCTGGGACATCGGAAAGACAAGATAATGCACCCAATCTACTATGCCAGTAGAACATTGAGTGGAGCCTAGCTGAACTACATTGTTACTGAAAAGGAGATGCTGGCTGTGGTGTTTGCATTCGACAAGTTCAGATCATACCTGATTGGCTCTAAGGAAATTATATATACTGATCATGCAACTCTCAGGTACTTGATTGAGAAGAATGAGTCCAAACTGCGCCTGATTCGTTGGGTGCTGTTACTACAAGAGTTCGACCTGGAGATTCATGACCGTAAGGGCATAGAAAATCAAGTCGCTGATCATCTATCACGACTTAAAGGAGCTGAAAACTCAGTTGAGGTAGAGGACATTCTGGAAACCTTTCTAGACGAGTAGCTATTCGCTACAAGCCTTAAGGAAGTGCCATGGTATGCAGACTTTGCAAATTACATGGCAAGCGGTATAGTTCCCTATGACCTTTCCTCTGTGCAAAATAAATGTTTTTGTCGTGACTGCCGTATGTATTACTGGGATGAACCTTATCTGTTTCGAATATATGTTGACAATATGATCCGGAGGTGTGTCCCCGAGATAGAACAATCTTCTATTTTGCAGGCATGTTACACATCGGTGTATGTCAGGCATTTTGGAGGAGTCAGGACGACATCAAAAGTACTAGAAGCCGGGTTCTACTGGCCAACAGTGTTTAAGGATGCACATCAATGAGTGAAGGGCTGTAATGAATGTCAGCGAACCAGGAATATTTTCCGTCGCCATGAGATGCCCATGAACCCAATTCAAGAGGTTGAAGTGTTCGATGTCTAGGGGATAGACTTCATGGGCCCCTTCGTCAGCTCCTTTGGCAATAAGTACATACTTGTTGTTGTAGATTACGTGTCTAAATGGGTGGAAACTGCAGCACTTCCCACCAATGATGCAAGAGTGGTGGTGGGGTTTTTGAAAAAGAATATATTCACCAGTTTCGGAACCCCGAGAGCTATTATCAATGACGGAGGCACTCACTTCTGCAATCGAGCCTTCGAGAAATTGCTAGCAAAGTACGATGTGCGCCATAAGGTGGCAACACCATATNCCCATTTCGGGACTCGGAGAGCTATTATCAATGACGGAGGCACTCACTTCTGCAATCGAGCCTTCGAGAAATTGCTAGCAAAGTACGATGTGCGCCATAAGGTGGCAACACCATATCATCCTCAAACCAGTGGATAGGCCGAATTGTCTAATAGAGAGATAAATAGTGTGCTAACCAAGACTGTGAATGCCACAAGAACTGATTGGGCAAAAAAGCTAGATGATGCACTCCAGGCCTACAGAACTACTTTCAAAACAACAATTGGTATGTCACCATGCAAGTTGGTGTTCGGAAAGGCCTGTCACTTGCCAATGGAACTAGAACATAGAGCTTGGTGAGCAATGAAACAGCTAAATCTGGACATGGAATCTACGGGAACAAATAGAGTCACAGAATTGCATGAGCTCGATGAGTTCCGATATCTTGCTTTCGAGAGCACGAGGTTATACAAGGAGAGAATGAAACGGTTGCACGACAAGAACATTATTGGGAGAAATTTCAATCCCGGAGACATGGTGTTGCTTTATAACTCAAGATTAAGGCTATTTCCGGTTAAACTCAAGTCACGATGGTCTGGACCATTTCGAATGGTTGAAGTATTCCCTTCAGGTGCCGCAGAGATTGTCTCAGAGAAAGACTCTCATACATTTAGAGTCAATGGTCAAAGATTGAAACCATATGTAGGCATGGATAAACCAAAGGAAGTGTCAGTGATCCATCTGACTGAACCTCAGAGGTCGAGTGAGCCTTAAATGCACTTATCTGCGTCGTGCCGCGATGTTAAATCAAGCGCTGCATGGGAGGCAACCCATTGATTTGTTGTAACT